AACATATATATAAATATATATATACATATAAATATATATATATATTAATTAAAACACATTTTACCCGCGCACGACGATGCGACAAAATAGGTGTCCTCCCTAGGCAAAATTGACGTTCCGGACGCGTTGGCGCAGTCCGTTTCGTCATCCGGGGTCGCTCGGACGACGTCGCCGACAATCAGGTCAAAACGCGTCGAAATTCAAACTTCACAAAAAATCGACCTGCGATCGATTGTTTCAAAAATTTCATTCGAGTCTTCGACGGGTAACAGTGCAAGCGATGTGAATTATGGCGATCGGACGTGTCGACTCTCCGAATTGCGAAGTTTGTGCGCGCGGGAGTGCGAATTGTGCAGAAGGCCACCCTAAGGCTCAAAAAGGTCCTATAGGGGTCCCTTTTGGGTTTCCTCATGTTGGTTTCACCCTTCTAAATGCTAGAAGTCGATACCACACACTTGGAACCACAAAAGAGGACGGAAATAGGTCGAACTAAAACGAGGCGGGCACCACTTCTAAGGTTCTAAGATAATCGCAGGAAGACCCCTAAGGCTAGATCCTAACTCCTACGAGAAAAACTAGACCTCACGAAAATTGAGGTCAACAGCTGCAAACCAAAGGCCACCAAACAACACTGCATCTCATGCCTCCACCGATATGAAAATGCATATGAAATAATTTGGGCTTACAATCACAAGTTCAATATCTCCATAACATGCCCATAAATGAGTTAGCTCTTTATGTGAAAGAGAATGTGGTGAGTGTTATCCAAGAAGCTTGCCAACGAATGGTCGGTTTGGCCGCTCAAAATTGCTTTGCATCATCTCATGATTAAGAGAAACTGAAATTCCATCAGGTGAGATATAATAATATCTTCAACTTGATCTATCTTCAAGTGGGTAAATTTTTGCCATGCATTGGCTTCATTATTCGTAGCTCCCTTAGAAGCTTCAAGATTACCTTATCCCTTGTAACCAAATTGATAGGTTATTGTACCTAAAAGGCATTATGTCGAACACCGTGTGTGCATAAATCTATGCTTAAATTTTGCTGAAAACTACCAAAAAATAGTCCATTATTTCCAAAAGAAGTGGGTGAAGCAATCTGTCAAACACCTTAAGTGCACTATTCTGGACAATTTCCATCATGCATATTTAAATCTTAAAAATCCACGCTATAGAAATAACATAACTTTCCTCTTGTGGCTGCAAACTAGCATCAAATTGATCATCAAAACTTAAATTTTGTGCCACATTTAATGAATTTTCGGATCTGTAGCATTGTTATTTGTTTTAATTTGAGTTGCACCTTCTCTTAACAATTCCATTTCATGAGACTTCAAGGGAAATCACATAGTGAAGGAGGCCCTTTGATGAATTCGAAATTGGATTTCGTTCAACAATTTCGGGTGGTGCGCCTTGATTTTGCAATTTCTTTATTTTGTTCTCTCATGATTGTCTAATTTGGAGTGTATTTTTGTTACTTCACTACCATGTTATACATGAATCCCATATCCACCACTTCAGCTTCCATAGAATCATAATGTTGTGGCTCTGAAATAGGTGACGTGAAAGTGGCTTTCTCGAAATCTTGCATTAGCCTTAAAATTGAAGTTTCAGTTCTAATACAAATCATTGGATCATGATTTGATTCTTCCATCACAGCATCCAATTGCGTGAAATCTTGTTGATCCACAACCCCATATTTTGTTAGATCCACATTTTCCACTTTGGTTTTCCTGAAAGAATCTTTCGTATTTACAAATTCATCATCCAAATGAGACGCCTCACTGCTCCCAACGCCTAAAAATGATTTGTGTCATTTTGATTCACTTTGGATCCTCAAGTGCCTTGAAATTGCTGCAACGCCTTAAATCTTCATATCCTTGGAGATTTCAAAACTTCCATGGCCGACCAAACCATCCAAGGAGTCCACAACTTAATTACCCGAAACTTTTCTGGAATTTTCCTTGGCCTTAAAACAACACTACCAACACAAAAACCACCACCATTCTTTGGAGCATCTACCCACCCTACGAGGGAGGGATAGCCGCCATCATGCCCTGAGTCTCTCTTTCTAAAACACTAGTGGGAGAAAAAAGTGAAAGAAATGAAAAAGTCTGCACGACCTTGACCCATCTGTGATCTGACCCACAACCATCTATTCCAATACAAGAAAGAGTACATTTTACAACATTCAATAAACACTCGAAATTAAGATCCACAATCTAATGCCCAAAATACAAATTAACAAACTCGATTGAACTCAAAATACAAAGAGCTTCAATAAAATACAAAAAATTAGCATTGAAGGGCAGGAGTAACTACCACCTGTTCAACATCAATAAGCATTAAATCCATAATTTTCGACAAAATTATCATTACTTACCTCCATGGTAGCATCTAGCCACCTTCCTTTATTACAAAGGCAGCAAGCTAATTCATAATAAACAGCAGCAATTCCAATAACTCCTCTTCGCTCCATGTCTCGGACTGCTGCAACTGCTTCATCTACTTTACCCTGTTCCCAAAATGTTCTCACAAGGACTGCAAGTCATTAAATAAAAATAAAGAGATTCACTCAACAAAAAATCTTTGAATAAACCCATAATGAGTTAATGAGTATAGCAAAAACTTCAAAGTAAAGGCTAAAAAATATTTGAACCGTTTGGCCACCTTTGTAACTTATTGCCTTAGGAGCCAGACGGCCTTCTTGCATTTTTTCAAAAAACTTGTGGACATCGTCATACTTTCCAGCTTTCAGCATCACCTTACAAGAAGCAAGTCCTGTGAGTTCAAGATATTATATATATATATATAGAGAGGGAGAGGGAGAGAGAGAGAGAGAGCTTTTTTCTGACAGGTCAAATAGGCTGTTGAAATTTTCAGCAATCTAACTTAAAATAAAACGGGCTCAAAATGAATTTCTAAACCTGATAACATGACTAAAGTTACAAAAACAAAATTGCAAAACAGCAGTAAATGAGCACAAAAGATGAATAATGAGCCATGTTACAAGAAAGAATGAGAAACAAAACAAAACAAAACACAAAATCAAAACTTCAACTGGACTTACAGGGAGCATATAATGGACTCAATAGCTCACACTTTAGTATGAATAGAAACCTCCCCACTACTGCTCAAAACTTTCTTGAACATTCAGAACCTTAAGGGACTGAATAAAATTGATTGTGAAAATGGACCAAGCAATGCCTTTACTTTATTAGCATAATAAAAGATATAAGAAAATTAAATGCAAACAGGAAAAAGCAATGTCTTAGATGCACAAGAAACACTAAATTACAGCAATTGCAACCGAATTTGCAAACCAACACATGCAAGCAAACAGAATGCAACAATAATGAACTTAGAATGCAAAGTCACAACTCACAAGCACATTATAATGACAGTGCATTCTCATGAATAACCCGCATTGAACCCTGTACATCTTAAATGGACGTGCATTCATGCAAATGAAAGTTTCCAAATAAAATCCAAACCACTAAAGCATCACAGGCTGAGTAACCTTTTCAAAAATATGTGCTTGATACATTAAATCCCTAAAAATAATTTTATCTCCAACAAATATGCTTAATACTTACACTGAAATTAAATAATGCTGCTTGAATTAAAAAAATAAATAAATGACAGGAATTCAAAGCCACTATGAAAAGCATGCAATTACTCAAACAATGTACAATAGTTTGAACTCTGAAAACTCACTCTCAAACTCAAATTCAAACCATAATTTGTTGTACTCTCACTTTTGGAAGAGGCATCCTGCGAATAAAACGGAGTCATAAGTCCTGCTAAACAAATCTGATTCTCCTCACAAGTGCAAGAATTTACGAGACAGGTACTTTTGGCAATATTTAAGTATTATTTCAACAAAATTACAAATAGTGAGTGATTTTAATTCTTGTTCTAGGTGTAATTAAAACTGAACAAACCATAAATTTCACCAAATTATTTTTATTTTATATTTGTATATGGCCTTCAATGCCTTTAACCCAAAAAAAAAATCATTTTTTAGAAATGCAAAACCCCAATTTCACGCCTATCAGGTATAATAATAAGTCATCATAAGTTTTAAATCTTAGACCTAATTCTCTATATTCAAATTAGAGTCAACAATGTTTATAGCACAAAGAATTTCCTAGATAAACTCAAACTACACGCAAATCATCAACTTTATAATTTATAAGCTGACAGGCAGGTGATAAGATTAAAGTTTAGAATTTCGAAATACCCTTATGATGGGTGTACAGTTATACTAATTCAAAATCGGAGGGGCACACTCACAAAATAAAAATCTCAATTTATAAATACAAGCATTTCCAACATTCTACCACCCAAAAGATGATTTTGTCTCCAACATTCTACCCAAAAGATGATTTTGTCAAAAAAAAAAAAAAATCAATGGGAGAATATTATCATCAAAATATCCCAAATCCTAAGGCTTTCAGATTAAAATCTTAAAAAATATGAATACCAAAAAAAAAACATCCAAGTAAGCATTCATCCTCCACACTCTTTTGATAAGAATGACTAGTTTAAGAAAATCTCAGCTCACAAAAAATAAACGTCAAATAAAGCATAACTTTATGATTACTCTCAAAGATCTAATGTGAGAAAAGTCATGTCGCATATCTCTGACCATATGATTTTGTCTTCAAATCGCTTCACCAAAAAGCATAACTATGACCAAGGCCTTCTACCCAAATTATTCAACATAAAATAGCATATTAAATTATGGCTATGACCAAAGCTCATAGTTTCTCCAATAGCATAAATCCCCATATTATAGTGTAATTAGTGAGGCACGAAGCCCGTAGTTGGCTAAGATCGAGTTAAAATTACCTCATTCGACAAACATCTATTCTATGCTAAAGGCAATAACTTTTAATAATTTAAAACCACGATTGTTGTTACTATATGTTAACCATTTAGCACCCACTGACTAGCTGCAATTAAAAGTTCACTCTCATGATTAAGAGTAATGATTAATCATTGGAGCATGCATTTTTAAAAAACTTAAAATAAAATCATAAATCCTTACAAAATTAGGATAGAATCTCTAAGTGGTGTCTTATTTAAAATAATCTAACTTCTAGATATTTAAAAGGAACCACAAAGTCTCTCAGAAAAAATGAGAATGAATTGTTGAAGCTGACACTTTGTGATGTGGTCACCTTTTTTCCCCAGACACGGCAAGTGTTGCTATATTGTTCGGACAATTCTGTCCTGGAAAAGGACCTGATCGATCCTTCCAAAGACGGGTTTCCCTTCTATTTGCAGCAGGGCGCGCTCCTCTTTACCGTAGGATTATATATTTATTGGTTTTGTTTATTTAGGAAATTTTTGGTGTGTGTGTTTTTTTTCAGGACAGTCGTTAGTCTCCATTGTTTCCCTTTTAAGTCTATATTCGAAGGCAAGAAGGTGTGCGGGCTATAACTCATCTGAGGCGGAGACCGTCTCTCAAAGATCAAGTGATGCTACGACTGTAGTTTGATTCTACGAAGAAATTTAGTTTGATCCTGCGGGGAAATTTATACTTGATTTCACTTCTCCTGCAATCTTTCTTTCGCTTTAACTCTCATCATCTTTGTCGACGTCAAAGAAAAATGTCCCTTTAATTCATCCTTACTTACGTCAAAGAAAACAGTCCCTTTAATGTTTTTCCCGTAACCCTCACTGCCCAGCCGCCTCCTTTCCAGTTCCCTTACCTCCCCGCCATCAGCCTCCTCCACTTCCTATACTTATAGCATGCAGTGACTGCAGTCCTCTCACAATAGCCCCCTCAACCACCATAGCACCCCTCCCCAGCCAATTTCATATCAAGTCACCGACATCTCCCCAACCTTCCCTCACCCGCAACCTATCCTCACGCCACCTGCCACCGCCCTCCTAAGCCAGTTGGCCTCCACCTACCCTCCTCCCACTAACCCAACCGTACTTGCCTACTACCCTTCCCCTCCATATCCCCATACACTGATTCAACCCTCCAACTGTAATCCACATCCCTTTTCCCATTCACCGCCACCAACATGACACAACTACTAGTTGGGTGTGTTGTGCCTTTGTTGTTGTCATTTACCCATTTTGATTGGTTATTTGTAAGTCTCTATTTGAAATTCAACAATAATATTAGTGTTCTATCGTTGTTTTGGTTAACTTTGGTATCACTTAGCATTAATTCTCATTGAAAGCATCGCGCAAAATATTAATTTCTTTATATTTTATGCATTTTACTTCAATTAGTTTGTTCATTTTATTTGTTATTTATATATTTGAAGCTATACTAATTGATGCGTGCTAGAAAATTTGAGGAGGTAAATTAATGGATTATCGTCTTAGCGTTGCACAAGGATTCAACACACACTCAGATGAAAGTGAAACAACCAGTGATGACACCAGAAGTTTTTACGTGGAAACCCGTAAAGGGAAAAAACCACGGGGTCCGACCCAGTTGTAAAAATCCACTATAAGTTGATGATTACAAATGTCCATTATCCCACAGGTGGGAAAGGGTTACTAGCTTTCCAAGTTACAACGTCGGCTGATGAAGTTTAGTCAGCGGTGATCGACAGAGGTCAGCGGAGGCTGACGAAAGTCATGAAGGTCGGCGATGGTGGTCGACGGTCAGTGGTGGTCGACGGCGATCGACGATGGCAGGAATGATCTTGGACTTGAGGTCTTTCTCAAAGCTTCAAGTTTTCTCTTAAGCATCCTCTTTCATGTGAGGGGTGATGCTCTATTTATAGTGTTTTGAGTGCAATTAATGCAAGAATATGAACCATTTTGATCAAACGATCCGGAGCGATTCCCTTAATCAGATGACGTTTGATAGACATTTGAGTGTCTTAACGATGTCGGAATTGAGTAATCTTGGGCTCGTTAGATTGGTTTTTTCGAGACGCTCGATTCGACTATGAACTCGTTAGATTCGACATCCATTTGACCTTTCAAATGCCTCCGAAAATCCTCCAATAGTGGTTTAATGACTTGATCCGGGCTTAATTTGACTCGGATTGGACTAACTTTCATAGCATTAGGTCTGTCTCATCGAGCCGATCAATTTGACTATAATTTGTTGAAATTGAAGCTCTGGATGACTCTTAATCAAAGTTTGAATTTTTCTTTTTCAAAAAATTGCACTTAGATTCGTGTTGGCTGATGAAAATTTGTTGGTGGCGTATCACTAACAATGAAGGTTGAGAAGCATTATATACTATTGGTGGAAAAAGGGTGTATTTTATTTTCTAATATTAGGTTTGTTAATTTGTTTGGCTTGATTTTAATTTTAGTTTAGATTGCATTCATTTTCACATATGTTGGAATGTATTATTTGGAGTCAATTGAGGATTGTTAATACTAATTCAATGAAGTCGAGTTTTTTTTAAGCTGAATGGATTCATGATCGTAGAAAAGCCGTATGTGGGTGGTGTATAGTAGACATCGACATTTGTCATTAAAAAAATGAACATAAGCCATATTTAGATGGTGGCATGACTAATTGGTAAGTCCCATTTTTCATATAATTTATGGTAAAGAGCTAACAAATTACCTACATATATGTGTGCAAAATTTTAAAAAAGACAAGGGTTGTTTGGTGGTTAAAACTTATTTTAAATTTAAAAAAATTTCAATCTCATCTATTGGCATGCATCATGAGCCTATAAATAGTGATTTAAGGTATTTAGTTAAGTATTTGCGACTTAAATTAAATTCATCTTCTTTATTTTCAATCTTGTAAGTGCATACTAAATG